AATGATTTTTTTTTAAAAAAAAATATTTCTACAGTTTGGAGATTTGTGGCCAATCAAGTTTAGGATAAGTGGGTTAGAGCAGGGATGGTAAACCTGTGGCATGCCACAGGTTCGACATCACGGGGTTAGAGCTTTAAGTCTGTTTCTGAAAAGAAGCAGCATATTAATAATAACAAACACCGTATATTTCGGAGTATAAGATGCACCAAGATTTTGAAGAGCCGATTTAAAAAAAAATATTTTTTGCACTCTGCAGGCCTTCCAAAAACAGCCCGTTTTTCGCGAAAATGGACCAGTTTTTTTGTCAAAAGAAGGGCATGCCTAGCTTTTAGGAGGTTTATTAGAGTGCTCCTCGGGGGTGGGGGGGGCAAAAACAAGCAAAAAAGGACCCGTTTTTCGCTGCTTTCTACCCTCCCCAGCCCCCAGGAGCACTCTGGAAGCCTCCTAAAGGCTATGCATGGCCATTTTTGCAAAGTGGGTGGAGTTTCGGGAGGCCAAAAATGCTGTATTCAGTGTATAAGACTCACCCAGATTTTCTCCCTCTTTTTTGAGGGGGGAAAAGGTGCATCTTATACTCCGAAAAATACAGTAACATCTCAGTAAAAATGTGAGGTGTTTACTGACAAAACCAGTCCAGAATTCTGAATTCTTTCCCTGGGCAAACCTCCTGACTCTGCCGGTTTTTACGGCTTCCTGAGCTGCGAACCTCCTCGCTCGGAAACAAAAACAAAGTTTCCGACGGACAAACGAAGGATATCAGTGCGGTGACGACACCTGTGGCAGCCCCCATGGCAAACGATCCGCTGAAGATCCCGAGGAAAATCCCGATGGATTTGAACATGGCTGTCACATCAAAAGTGTGGCTGTTGTCTCCTGCGGGCTGGTAGGCAATGATTGAACTGTGGGAAAACACAGAACGCAGAGGTCTTAGTAGGCGGCTTTGCTAAACGTTCCACAGATGGCAGGAGCCAAGAATTCTTCTTCTTCTTCCTATCTAGAAGAAATCTCATCTTCATCTCCAATGACCCCCATAATCCCTTGCGGGATGAAATCCGGGCAACTGAATGGAGCCAAGTATTTACTGGCCCGATGCCCTTCCTATCCCCAATGCAGGGTTTATATTTCCAGCAGATACCGTATTTTTCAGAGTATAAGACGCGCCAAGATTTTGAAGAAGCAAATTAAAAAAAAAAAGTTTTTGCACCTCTGCAGACCTCCACAAAATGGCCTGTTTTTCACAAAAACGGGCCCATTTTATGTCAAAAGAAGGGCATGCCTAGCTTTTAGGTTTATTAGAGTGCTCCGGGGGGAGGGGGGAACAAGCAAAAAACCAGCCCGTTTTTCGCCCATTTTTGCCCTCCCCAGCCCCCAGCAGCACTCTGGAAGCCTCCTAAAGGCTATGCACGGCCATTTTGGTGAAGGGGCGGGGNTACCCCCTTCCCCGTGTTTTGTAAGCCGCCCTGAGTCCCCTCAGGGAAAAGGGCGGCCTATAAATTATAATAAACATTCTAAACATTCTAAACATCTAGCGCCTTCACCACTGCACCAAGCTAGCTCTCTAATTTGACAGTATCAAACCTAAATCTTGTCTCTTTTATTGTTTTGTTTTCTAAGAAATTTTGCAATTAAAATGATTTGTTATAATTACTCATGGATCTGGCAAGAAGAAATATCTAATGGATTTGAATTAAATGTGAGTTCAAGGAAAACTGTTTATTTGTATTCCTGTACATGATTCTCAATGAGAAATTAATCCTTGATCATAATGGTTAAAAAATGGTAAAACAAATTGCAGTAATCTGGATATTGTATAATATAACAACTTCAAGATAAATAATATGCATGTACTGAAATTTAAGTAAAGTCTGGATAATTGAATCCAAAAGTTTTTCTTATAGGGACCATTACTTTCAAAGTGATAATCAATACTCCATGCTTTGGACCAACTACAATGGAGTACAGTGAGTCCTCAACTTATAACCATTCGTTTAGTGACAATTTGAAGTTACAACATCTTGTGGCCTTTTTTCACATTTACAATAGTTAACAACAACTCCATGATCACATGATCCAAATTTGGACGTTTGGCAACTGGCATGTATTTATGACGGTTGCAGTGTTCTGGACTGATTCACTTAACAACTGTGCTACCAACTTTACGACTGCAGTGATTCGCTTAACAATTGTGGCAAGAAAAGTCACAAACTCGCTTAACAACTGTCTTGGTTAGCAGTGGAAATTTTGGGCTCAGTTGTGGTAATAAGTCAAGGACTATGTATAAAGGTGACACTGAAACACCAAGCACTACCTGAAAGAAGATCCTTCTAGAAGTCACACCTTGTGTTTGTAAATGAAAGCTTCCCTAGGTGAAGTGCCTCCCATTTTTATTACTTTTATTTAATGTAAGGTTAGACTCACACAGCCTGATGTATTATAATATTTTGTATTGGTAGCATCTCTGTCCTACCCATCTCTGGGATTAGTTGGACCATTATTATAATACTACCTCCTGCTTTGCTATTCCTTTTCTGTTTATTTAAAAGGAACTCTAGGACTGATACTTTTTAAAGAAAATGTATCACATTCTCAAAGGGTGGCTCAGTGGCTAAGATGCTGAGCTTGTTGATGAGAAAGGTCGGCAGTTTGACGGTTCGAATCCCTAGCACCATGTAACTGAGTGAGCTCCCGTTACTTGTCCCAGCTTCTGCCATCCTAGCAGTTCGAAAGCATGTAAAAATGCAAGTCAAAATATAGGGACCACTTTTGGTGGGAAGGTAACAATGTTCCATGTGCTTTTGGCATTTAGTCATGCCGGCCACATGACTATGGAGACATCTTCAGACAGCGCTGGCTCTTTGGCTCTGAAATGGAGATGAGCACTGTCCCTTAGAGTCGGGAATGACTAACACATATATGCGAGGGAAACCTTTACCTATCACATTCTTACATCCTATGAGATTTACAATTGGGAATAAGAAAAAGGTACATAAATACCAGCAAATATATACTTAAATATATTCTTAATATCCACAGGCATTATTATTTTGGTTGTTATTATCTTTGTTATGAAGTTCCTGGGTCCCATGGATTCCTGGATGTCAAAAATTACAAAATCTCCCATAGCACAAAAGAAGCAAAGCTTAAGTCCTGAATGAAAAGCAAGAAGTAAAGAGACAGTTTCTAATTCTGTGCAAGTTAAAAAAGACTAATAATGTTATGATGCTCAAAAATAATTGTTGGCACAGCTTATGTTGTTCTTTGAGCTCTCTGCTCTAGTTTCAGTAAAGGATTGATCATAGAATGAAAGTAGAATTAATTACTGCTTTATTTTAAAAATCACTTGTCTGTGGCAAGATTGCTTTCCCTCAACTAAATATAGATTTGCGCTGTTGGCATTCGGAGATTTTTTCATTGGTAATCCTTGGATTACATGAATTGTGCTTAAACTAGCTACCTAGAAAGCTGGGCATAAGGCAGAGGCATAAGATTTACCGCACTGAGCCTCAGAATCAAATGTGCCTTCTTCTCAAGAGGGAGGCAAACCTGTTTTCCCAGTTTGCTGGAGCTCTAGTTGGAAATGGAATTTATGAGATAAGGTGACACTTATCCTTTGGGCAGTGAGGACGGGGCCTGTAGAATCTTGTTTCCCAGACCTGCTCTACAGTTCAAGAATATTTCCTTTGGGAAATTACCACTGAGGGTTCTGCTATTGAAATTGTGGGTTAGGATATGAATTCATATGTTGTTGCAAGAAGTATCCCTGTCTTTTTGGAAAGCATGACACTTAGAATCTAGTGCTTCCTTCAGAATTTACTACTACATCTGCTATTTTCTAGAAAAAGACTAGCACAAAGTAGAAACTGCATTTCCACCCCCTCTCTTTTTTTATTGGCAGTAGTGTTATCCCTCTAACTTCCAGCATATTTTATTAACTTGATTCTAGCAGTCTTCTGGCTTTCTCTGTCCATTAACCCACTAAGTACTCTGTTTACAAATGCATGTTAAGGGGTAGGTGAAGAGATTTGGTAAGCCGACTAATGCTGTGGATGGCTATAGGCTTTGCTAGGGTTTGTCAAGACTGGTAAATGATGTTCTCAAAGTCCTTTTGATGGTTTTTGTACAGAAAAGCAAACTTGGAAAGTATTGACAAGAAGCTTTTGCTTTTCTATCCCGAGAGAGACAGGTTTCCATTCACCTTAAAAGAAGCTTTATTTTAATCATACTATAGCTTTAGGAATTAGCTTGTGTTTATTGCTGACTCCACCCTGCCTTGCCTGTTGCAAGAATCTGAAGAAGCAATTGTGTTTTTAGAAGCAGAATGACGAGAAATTCCCCAGAGGCAAATGGAGAGTGTGAGCTGTAAGTACACCAATAGAGACGCGCGCGCAGACACACACAAGGGTTGGGAACTCCCAAAGATAGAGAACGAGAGTGGAAGTGTAAACAGGAGAGCCAAACAAAGTGGGCAGTGGAGGAAGAGAGACCACCTTTAACTGTTTAATTTCTATCTTCCCCTCCACGTTTTTGGTAATCATTTTTTAGTCCGGCCTCTCATTCTGGGATCAACACCATCAGCTTCTGGGCTGGAATTGCCCAAACTGGCATGATGTACCTCTGGGTGAGTAGAGATTTATACGAGCCAACACACCTTGAACAGAGAAGGTGTGGAAAGTTGAAGTTTCTTTCTAAAAGTATACAGCTGCTTCTTTTGAACTGTATTCTTTTCAGGGTTTCCGATATACTAGAAAGTTGCCCTTTTGTAAACATATAAAGATATGCAATTGAATATTAACTCTTGTTACTGAATTTTAAAATTTTTGTTTCCTACTGAGAGTACACCAGAGAGTGTGCTGTAGTCAGTTTGGAAGCTGTCATTCCCTGATTGCCTGTAGGTAGGAAAAAGAATTCTCTTTTTCTCAAAGGTGTCAGGTAATAAACTCATTATTCTGTGATGGCTATTGTGATATGACTGGAGGACACAACTGCAGGAAGGGGAAGGAAATAATCAAGGTGGTGTAATTGTGTACATGAAGGCATCTGTCTAATACTTTGCTAAGATTGTCAGAAATGGGTCATGCGAGGGGTAAGCGTTCTTCGTTGACAAATACTGAGATTGAGTTACATATACACCTCAAATTGTGGAAAAACTGGAAGGCTTTTGATGCGAGATTGTTTGTTTTGTTATTAACTGCTACTTTATGTTAAAACCAACGTAATCGACGGGCTTGGAAATATTCTAATGTTTATAGCTGTGTTGTGCAGAGGTTCATCTACTAATTTCTGAAGTTTTGAATGAAATGGAACACAAGTCAAATACTGACTACTTTATCAAACATGATTACAGCTATGAACCATAGATTTTTACGTTTTAAGTAAAAAAATAAGTAAAAATATTAAGTCAAAATACCTTATATTTTATAATAGTATTTGGGATATTTTAAATGCATTATGAGTAAATATGCAGAAAAATAAATACCTAATCATCTAATTCTGTTCATTAATTTGTGAAGTAGCTATGTTTTTTCATGGAAGGGATAGGTGGAAGATAAGCATGCCGTCCAGACACCTTTTTGTTTTAGTTTAAACAAAAACTATATTGAACCTTCTTTTGTCTCAAAATTTATATGGGTATGTAAAATATTATATGTATTAATTATGCAATCTAAATTATACAATAACAGATAATCTTTTTTCATATTTTCAAACCAATCTTTGTTGTTTCCACTACATTTCATTATGTCTTTTTCAATCATTATTAATATTTACTGTTACTTCCAAATTTGCTTGGGAATTGTTTAGGGAATTTACTTTCTTTGATTAGCATGATAATTTTATTATACTAAAATCTGGCTTTACAATTTTCCTTAATTGTAAACTTCATTTTAATAAATATCTATCT